ACATATATACATATATATACCCACGCGCACGCACGCACACGCACGCACACACGCACACACATACACACACACACGCGTACATTTAAATTTAATATATACCTTAAACCAAAAGTTAACAAATAAATTAATTGCAATGTTACGATGACACACAATGCAACTGTAGCATTAAAAAAATATATTAATTTATTAATTATTTGTTTATTGATCATAAACAAATAAATAATAAAATTGAATAATTTTACCAAATTATTCAAAATTTTAAATAATATATTTTTCTGATTTCCATTTTATAACATTTTCTATATTTCATGACACTTTTATCATCACTTATAAATAATAAAACTGTACTCACATGCTTACTTAATAAAGATGCAAAAAAAACATGAAATACAATATATTAAAATACAATATATTTTCGAATAAAAAAGTTATATTGAAACACTTTCATGAATCTTTCCTTACAATATTCATGACACGCAATATTCACTCAGACTTCAAGCAATAGAAACTCTCAACGAGCAAATGTATCGATTAAATATACGCCCCTTTCAGAGCAAGAGTACTTTGGACTGGGTATACGGACTGACATTTTTTTTATGTAACGAGTATCCAGTAACCAATCAGAAACAATCCGCGTTTTACGTTATACGGAATTGAATGTGCTCATTGGTTATACGATATACATTACGAAGAAAATATCAGTTCATGTGAAAACCCTTTTTAATGTCAGATCGACACCAAACTCTTCTGAAGATTGGCGCAGGCGCTTCTTTATATTACAGTACAATGAATTGTCCATCCGTGGCAGTATACTGTGTGCTCTCGTGCAGTGATCATGTCCAATTCAAAACATGCGTCAGAAAGAAAAACACCCGAAGAACATATCGATTACTGTTTACAATTTAATCGATGGTTTCTCAAACCAATCGGTGCGTGGCCACAAATAAATGCACCGAATCTAGGGTGCAAAATCATGATATTACTGCAAATTTTTATTTGTTCAAGCATAATAGCTATCACAACGATACCATGTATCTTGTATACGTTATTTGAAGCAGAGAATATTCAACAAAAACTGAGTACCATAACACCATTGCTCAACAGATTTATTAGCTCGATGCATTACTGGGTGTTGCTAAAGCGCAGTGTTGATATTCACAAATTAATACGACATATGGAGACCGACTGGAATCTTGTGCAAAGGATCAGCGAACGTGAAGTGATGCTACAACATGCCAAGTTTGGCCGTTTCGTTACTATAATTTGTGGGATAATGATGCAGGGCGGTTGCCTATTATTCGGCTTAGGCCAATCAATGAGAACTGCTACTATCACCATCGGCAATGAGACTTTTACAACGCATCCGACGACGTGTCCGATTTACAGCAAAATCATCGATACCAGATTTACTCCTCTAAATGAAATCGCGATAGTTCTGCAAAACGTGATAATATTAATATTAAGTTTCTGTACTGCTGGTGGTTGCAGTCTAGCTGCTGCCTTCGCGATACATGCTTGTGGTCAGTTAAACGTGCTGTACACGTGGCTACATGAATTAGTTGAAAACCAAACGAAGAAAAATGATAAAGCTGAACAAAAACTGGCTGCTATCGTAGAACATCACCTAAGAATATTGAGGTATTTCAAAACAGACACTCGAAAAAAACATACATATTTCCTAATACTCTATAAAAAAGTTCTAAATTATCAGTTAAATTAATAATTAATCATTTAAAGATTAGAGGTTTACATTAAAATTGAGATAAATTTATTTTCTTCTTTTTATGGATTACTAATAAGGAATTTATTATCAATTATATTCATGAAAGATATACCTAATCAGTTTAACATATGTATGACTTATTCATAAAAAAACTGAACTGTTATACACATTTATATGTTTCAGTTTTATATCACAACTAGAAAGTATTATGCATAAACCAGCTTTTGTGGAATTAATAGGATGCACGACAATAATGTGCTTGTTAGGATATTATATTGTTACGGTACGCTATAGATATGAGGAAATGCAAATATTATTTTATACAAATAAATATCACTTATTTACGAAAAATCAAAAATCGTTACTATTACAAAATGTGTATTAAAAACGATAAATTATATAATAAAGCTCATATATTAAATTTTATATTGTAAAAAATATATTGTATCCGTATTAAAATAGATTGTTGACAAGAAATTATGTTGGATTTTTTACATACTCATGTAAAATGTGTTAATTTAACATGAAACGCATTAAATTTGAACATTTTGTGTTAAATTGACATTCAACAATTATTAATATTAAACAAATATAATTCACAATAGAATGGTGAACATATAACATAAACATAACATAAAAACGTAATGTATAAAAACATAACATAACGTAATGAAAACGTAATTTAAGATAAATAAATAAAATTTATGAATTAATGCTACATATTATGTTAATATCATTATTCTAGAAATATACCTTCGAAATTTGTTTTAAAATTGTATTTTATTTCAAAATGTTTTTTTATTTTAATTTTTTACATAATATTACTTTTTCATATAATACGTGTTACATTTACAAAAATTTGTGTGAATCATTGGCCTAAAATATGTGAAATTTAGTAAAATTTTCTTCTGCATAGATTTGGGAAACACTTGATATGACAAAACTAATATCTTACCTTTTTCCATATTTATCAATGAGTTTCAATATTTTTATATTCTGCTACATTGGAGGAATTGTCACAGAACAGGTATTACATGGAGATTCAAAATATTCTGAAACAAAAAAATCATGTTTTAATATTTTCTTAATAATATAGTCAATATTTTAAGAAAAGCAGAGAGTGTAATACATATTGAAAAAATTTTAAAATTACAATTTTTTAATGAAATGTCTCATTTGTAACAAATTTAATTATTTCTATTTTCTTTCATGTGATATTAATTTAAATTATGAAATTGTTACTCATACAAAATTTTATGTTAAATTAGTGCAAACTTGTCGGAGAAATGGCATATATGACTGATTGGTATAATCTACACCACACAACTGCACGTGGTCTCATTCTGATTATTGCCCGATCGAATAACGTAATTAAGATCACAGCGGGAAAATTATTTCATTTATCCATCGCTACTTTTGGTGACGTAAGTAGTGCTGATTTTTCACCGAGATTCGTCTTATTAATAAAAAGTTAATAAATTTCATTTCCCTTATACGTTATTAACTGCAAATTAGGATCATCTTATAAGAATTGAATAATTGATTTTAAACTATTCGTTTGATAAAATATTAACAAATTATATAATATTTTTTAAATTTCAAATGATGATTTTATGAGAACTGCACTTTAATTAAATTATGTACATAACAATCATGCATACAATTTTATATTCGTGTTTATAATTTAATACTTCAAATGTTAATAACTCTATATACCTAAATTTGTAATTTATGAAATGTGATACATATATCACTTTTGTTTTCTACAAAAACAAGAATCTTGTTGTTCCAGGTAATTAAAACATCGTTCATATATTGCAATTTTTTGCGAACACTGACTATGTAAAAGTTATATGAAATATAAATATAAAGAAATATAAATTTAAAAATATATAAATTATATATTTTATATAGAAAGTATTGTATATTTTATATAGAAGGTATAGTCTGAAAATAATATTTAATTGTTGCACTGAAATAAGGAATCACTGACTTCATACTGAGAAAAAAATATAGTTAATTTTAATAAATATTTATTTCATTACTGCCAACTAAACATTTACTTACAGTAAGTAAATTTGTTCAATAAAAAAAATGATTATCAAATCAAATTAACATTTCTTGTATCAAATAAATACATCTTTATATTTAATAAATATTTA